TACACACTTGGAATGGGAGGTTGAGACAAGTTGGTTACAGTCTGCAAACTCACTGCTAGATGCCCGCGCATAGGTTCGTTAAATCAGCCACAAAAAATGGTTGGCCATAGACTCCACCTATCACCCACCACCTTTATATTAAAACCTAGGATACCTTCAGGGAAAAGAGCAGAGGCGAGTATCAAATGAGAATATTGTTCAGACCTTCATGACCTTCATCACCACCACAAAAGATGAGATGTCATCAACAAACTCAGCTCAGCAAATGACAGTGAGTGATTGATCAGGCTTATCAATCAAACTTTGGACCCACTGTAATAAATCAAAGCAGAGTGTCACAGTGTTTTGGGGAACGTTGGAGGCAAGCGACTCAATCAGTCACAATCAGACGGAGGTGTGGGAGGAATAAAGTCGGCGCGTCAGGTGCTGCCCGTCAACCACCAAGCTAAAGTTATTTTGGATATTCACATGTCAAAACATAACTATCAATGGGAGCAGTTCCTCTCTGCCTCGCTGTGTGGTCTTCAAAAACATCTTGGAACCCCAGCAGATCCCACGGCTAGTATATATATATATCAACAGAGCCAGTTAAAAAACTCACTTCTTTTGTTCTATTTAATTTTGGTATAGTATGTCTATACCCATCATAGTTTTCCTCAATTATTAGCTCAAATACGGTTTAAATCAACAGTCACAGTAATTTTTTTGTACTCTTTAACAGTAGTGGTGTATGTTCCTACAAGAAATGTATTCAGCAAAGTGCTCCAAAATCAAATCTCATCTCCTTTATAGGAGGAACAAGTGGAAAATGTGGTAAGTGTGGTTGACCACTTATGGTTTTTAAGTGCTGCGATTTTGTTTCTAACTGACATGATTGTTAACCAGTTAAAGTTACAAGCACACGATATCATTGTTTCAAAGAGTACAGTGCCTATATACCGTAGGTTTAACACAATCTAACCCAAAAGGGGTCAAAATTGATTCTATTATGTAACGACTAATGCGTGATTATGTTGCGACTGACATCTAAAACTATCTGCACCACAAATATAAACTAGATTTGAATGTACTACATTTAACAACAATTAAAAATTACAAAACTGGCCATACAAATGGCAGAAAGTGATTTTACTCATATCGTTCAGCCCTAGCGTGCACTTTTAATCATGTGTTGGACTTAATGGATTCCTTTAAACGTGTGCATGCACATATGACAACATAACATATATGTATCAAGGTAGATGACATAGGAAGCAGAATACAATCAATAGAACACAGATCTAATATAGAATGTATCCACAGCTTAAACATAATATAACACAACATCATCAGGTAAGAAACTGGGTTGTTACCTGCAGCCCGTTTTCTCTTCGGCCCCCTCTTGCTGGGCTTCTCCACCTTGGCTTTCTTTGCCTTTTTCCCTCTTTTTTCTTCATAATCGCTTCCTCCATCTTCATCGTCCTCCTCTCCAAAGTCATTGTCTTCATCATCGCTGCCAAAGTCATCTGCAGCAGCGATACAGAGGGAAGTCAGGCAGCTGACTCTTCAGTGTTCACTGTCACAAAGTGCCTGAGCAAACCTTCTCATCTAAATCAGACAACACGACTTACCTGCTGAATCATTTTTGGATTTAGAGAGCTTGTCATCGGACTCCTCACTGGAACAGAGATCAGGAAAAAATAAAGTCTTAGCAACTGGAGTAAGCGTACCCACAGAGATGAACATGAACAAAGCAGAGATTTTAATCTGCATTACATTTGCCAAATAAAAAACAAACAAGACTTGGAGGATGGGTACTGAAAACCAATCAGAGGTGTGCACCAATATGCTCTTGTACATGTAAAAGTGACACTTTTTCCATGAGATAAAGTAAACAACAGGGCTGTGACGGTATGGATTATTTTCCTGCTTCCCCGCAGTTTACTGAGCTGCTCTGGAATTGCGTGAGTGTGTTTCCAATCCACTGTACAGCAAGGCCAAGTAGTTTAACATGCGGAGGTGTGCTATGTCCATATCTGGTTAATTAGACCTGTTTCTATTGAAGAACAGCACCACTAATGAAACTCAGACAACTCAGTTATGTCCTATAACTTCTCCACTATAAAAGCATTGGGCAGTTTGCCAGTGGAAAGCTTTTAATGCAAAGCAGCAACATCAGGAAATGTGCTTGATTTGTAGCAGCAGACGTGCTGGCAAGTTACTTTTGCATACAAAAGTAATTATCTACTAGGGAAAGTTACTTTTGTGTTACTTTTAAATGCGTCAGTTCTTTTATTAATGTACACAACTGTCAGATATTTTATTTTAGTGTTGCTGTGGGAAAAGCAAATTTATTTAGGTTTTAATACTCCTGACCACCAGAGGGCAGCAACAACTAGCGTTCCTACCTGTAAGGTACACTCATTGTCCTAGTTACTAGACAGAAGGATTTAGTAGAAGACCCACTCAGATGTAAACATTAACTGAGCTTTGCTACTGTAGTTAGTTAATAAATAATTACTTGATGAACGTACTGAACTGTCGGACAACCGTAAGGTCAGGTGACATTTGACCATAAAGTGGAAAATCAACAGGATATACTGTCTGCCGTCTTCTGCAGTTGTCCATTTTTTTCTGGTAAGACAAAGGCAACGAGCCCATTTAAATTTCAGTTAGTGTAACTGTGGTATTTATTTTGAAAACGAAATTAGTTACATTACCAGTTAGGGCTGCACAATTAATCTAATATTATCCAATATCACTATTTTGGCTTCCCACAATTAAATGAACATGATTATCTACGATATTGACTTTAAAACACGTGTTCGGCTCATAGAAAACTGTGCTGCTGCATCAAATCAAACGCTTCCTAAACTAAGAGCCAGCCACCATGGCAAATGGAGATGTTATGGTTTCACTTCTGGGAATCTGTCCTGTCGCTGCACACACACCCTGCGGAGGCAGCCTGGATACTTTTATTCCGGAAACAACAACTGTATTAAGTTACTAATAAAAACCAAACATTTCCCACTGCGGCAGCTTCACATTAAAAGCATTTAACTGGCGAAACACGAGATTACTTTTATTTTGAAGTAAGCAAGTCAGAGGAAATGCAAAATGTTGTTAGCTTGACACTGGCTGCTATCCTTACATAAAATGTGTAAACATGATCTTAATACTGATCAAAATAATCGTGGTTATCATTTTGGCCATAATTGTGCAGCCCTATTATGAGTTATCGCCAAAAGTAGTGGAACTACAGTAACGCCTTGCTTTATAATGCGTTACTCCCACTCTAACGTAACACAGCTCTGACAGAAAGCGACCCATAAACAGTAACAGAGCTTCAGAACAGGTATTGAAAGCTAAGGCAGTAGTAGAAATGCGTGTAAGAATGGCTTGGCATGGCACGGCACGGCTACAGAAGTCCCACCCAGGCCCGTAGAAAGATTTTAGAGAGGTAGGGCATCACAAGGTGCATCCATTATGAATCGAACGAGCTCTCCTCCCTCCCACTGAGTTTCTTTGTCCCTACATTGTTCCAGCTCACCCACCAGCCCCAGTCTGACACGCTGCTGTAGCACACCTGGCTGTCTCCTCTCCTAAACATGTATTTGATCAACTCCCCGTTTCCTCTTCTGTCTACCCCATGAAGGCTGCCCTCGGCCAAGGCCTAACCCCCCTCAGCTGGTTGCACCTGTACTACTGTATCCTGCCATCTTGGTGCCAACTGTGTCTATTCTACTCATAGAGAAGCTGCTGTGCTCCTCAAGGACAAATTCTGCTCCTCTCCGCAGCAGTATGTTGAAGGGGTTAAACCGTACATGGCACAAAGTTGATTTATATCAGTGGAGCATATGTAAACGTGTGATGCATTCAATAAGAGAGAACCATATAATTAACTCCGATGAATTAGTTGGCATACTGCAGAAAGGTGTTACCTTGTCTATAGCGAGGGCTCACCTGTCATCCTGTGAGTTCTTTGAGCGCTTGTGCTTGGGCTCACGAGGGGCTGTGCGCACCTTCTTAGGCTTACTGTCGCCATACTCCTCATCTACAGAGAAACAAGATTTTAGTCTTTCCTTCACATGCACACACATACAAGGACATGTTCTAATTAACTGCTACCAATACTTTTTGTCCTAGTCTCACACTCTTGGTGTGTCTATCTGCTTCTCAAAGGTGGTATTTGGAGGTCCTCTATGAGGCATGAGAGAAAAATATCACAGAGGAGAGGGCATGCAAATACTGGAACAATGGTTATGAGACTATGACACTTGATTTGCCCAACATGTAATTCTGATCCATTATTTGTACTCAAAAGCAGCTGATTCAGTCTCTGGGATGGCATTACTGAACAAGAGACACTAAAGGCCTTGCTCCAGATGCCCCTTCCACATAACTGGGATCGATGTTATGTTATATGAACAGACTGACCAACTGACATCCCTGGAGCTGTTATCTTGGTAGCTGAGCTAAAAGTCAACAAACCAGTCCAGTATAACATTAAAATAAATGTATAAATAAAGAAAGAAATATTGAGTTGTTTAAATGATATATGTTGTTACAGGTCTTTTAGCCTTAGTGTATCAGTTCCAGGATAAATATATTAATATGGCTGACACACAGGGTTGGCCCACATGACCAGATAAATGAGTCAGAGATTTTGCCACAATGTTTACACATAGCTATACCTTAAATATCTCTGGATTTATTAGACCAGTGGACCCTTTTCTATCACTGATTGAACTGACAACCCCTGACTCAGTGACTTGTTTTATAGATATTTCAGATTATATTCAGCGTAACAATAACAGTAGAGAACAGCTGATAAACTGTACAATGAACCTAAACAGTGAACACAATAACTGCAGGAAGTTTGTGTAAGACAAGCAATTTGGATGATTTTTGAGTATTTTCCTGTCAATATTTATATCAGAGCTCAAAACTTTATTTTTTTTATACAATTCTCTGTCTGTATTATTTCACTTATACATACTTAATAGGCTTTTTTGACAAATGCAGTAATTTATTCTCCGTGATGGCCATTGTTCTATTAGCTCTTTGGTTGTTTTAACTGCATATCAATATGCAGTATATGCAGTACTGCAGAACGAGGCTGTTCAGCAGACAGTGAAGACTCTGAATAGAGTTTGTGTTCAGGTCTTCACTGTGCCCTTATCCTGAGAGATTAAGTTAGTATCTTAAATAATAATCTAAACTTTCAAAATAATAATACAATTAATGAAATGCTGAGATATAAGCTTTTTTAAAATAGTTTTCTTATATCCCCTAACACCTGTGACGTGTTTTCAGTTATTCTGGCTGATTAGACCTCTGCTCAGGCTGAAAGTCGATTGGTGCTTTGATGGGAATTTATTAGGTCACAAATCTACCAATAAGAATGATGAGGGTGTCATTTATCCCACCTTAACAGGAGCAACAAAGCTAAGAGAAGACTCAGGAAGACATCAATAAACTGCAGCATACACATCCACACAGTCCTGAGAGGCCTCATCAGCCAACTGAAAACAGCTGTGCGAGTGTTCACAGGCTTTAAAATTAAGTAGGCCATGTGACCCCTCGTGAAGCTCTGGCGACCCCTGGTGGGGGTAGGGGCCCCCGGGTTGGGAATCAGTGTTGGCAGACATTGCTTTTGCATCAGTGGAATGAGGTGAGGCCAAAAGCAGACATTACTGTCTGTGCATGTGATCCATTAACAATTTCTGAGTTGGTTTTCCATATGCGTTCCATTACAATATACAGATGATGGTTCTATCTATATCTTACTACAACATATTGAAACAAATCGTAGGTGTCTTACCTGCATCGTCAGACTCGTTGAATTGTGAGTAGTTCACCACTTTCCTGTTCCTGTGAAGAAGTACACACGTTGCATCAGGTTACGTTTACACAGGACAAAGTTACATCACTACCCAAACTTGATATCAGACATGTCAAGTGGGTGCTTCAGCGTGTTGGTGGACAACAAAGCTATTATAGGTCATGTGCAGCAATTCAACAGGCAGTAACAAGTCCTCTGTGTATGAACGTCCGGACTGTATTAGTTGATTTGGGAGGCCACAAACAGCCTCCAGCTGGGGGCAGTGAACTGGACACTGGTCTAACCTTCTACAGTTTCCATGGCTAATTTGGCAAAGTGTATGAAGGAAGCCTCAGGTAACAGCAGCCAACTATAGTTCAGGTAACACACAACCCTCAAAGCTGTGCTGCTGCAGGTTAACACCACAGACAAACCTTCCCTCACCCTACTTATGTGAATTGCATACACACAGCATTACACAGACATTAGTAACATTGTAAAAAAGATTTTAGAGCTGCAACAATTCATGGATTAGTTGTACACTACGCAGATCATTAGATTACTATTTAGAAAATTGATAACTGATTACTCTGTTTGAGTAGTTCAAATTTTCTGATTGCAGCTTCATTTTCTGACATTTTATGGACCAAACAACTAATGGATGAATCAACAATTGAATCAATCAAATTGATTTCAAAATGTTCTACACTTCTAGTAATTAGAAATAAAACATTTGGCACACAGGTATCTGCTGCAGTGGTAACACTGAACAACTGGTGGCACAGCAGATCATCTGCAAGCATTTCCTGGAAAACTACGTATCTGTGGACCCTAACCAGGTGACATACCATGCTGCAGCAGTGTGTGTGGTGGGACAGGAGGGTAAAGGGGGAAGGGTAACGGCACCATAAACTTTTACAAGTACTTAGATTACAAGAACACGCGCACACACCGACACTCACCACAGTAAAAGCCTCAGACATGTGCAATGGCAGCCGGTGGCGAGCCCGCCCAGCTCTCCACACATTATCATTCACATCTCAGGCATAGCAGAGAGCGAGAGACTCTTTACCAATCAGCTCCATTATAGTGAGTCACCAAACTGGGGAAGGGATGGTGTGTGAATCTGATACAGAGCAGGTAGTCTCATTAACACGCGTGCTATAGCGTGTTTAACTTTCTACGAAGTCTAGTTTTTATTTCTAGCCATGATTGGGTCGCTCTTTTGAGTGTGCATCGCCCCTTCTGAGCCATTTCTTTCAACTGTAAACTGAAATGGATGAAGGGAAAAAACACCAAATGGCTGTGTCAGAGTAGCCATTGCAATTCATTAAAGCGCCTAAGTCCATTAATTTATGGACAGAAAACGAATAGGCAGCAATTTTCCCAGTCATTTTAAAGCAAAAATCCCCAAAATTAGCTGGTTGAAGCTTCACAAATGTGAAGATTTTTAGCTCATAAGCGTTAGTTAACTGAATATTCTGAAGTGCTCTGAACTGTTTGTACAACACAAGATATTTGAAGATGCCACCTTGCTCCCAACAAGCATTTTAACTATTTTCTTACATTTTATAGACAAAAGAATTATTAGAAAAAAATATTGGCAGATTTAATGCAAATAATGGTGAACTGCAGCTCTGAGTCATTAGATTCCAACTGGGGAAAATTACCAGCTGCAGTTGCACAAATGTATCTCTGTTGGAGAATACTGATCAGAGTTAAAGCCCATTAAGTTCAAATGTATTTTAGTGTCTTACAACTGAGAATTTAATGTTTGGCCTTTTTGCCTGAAGAATACTTACAAATACAAATATCAAAGCTGTTGAAGATTAACTTTCTGACAAACAATTCATTAACTGGCTGTTTCAGCTCTAGTTCATTTATGTCCTGCCTTTTGGTTTATTTGTTCTACACACACGTATCATGGCTTTGAATTGTGACATAATGTATCATCACAACTCTAGACCAAACTACAAGCCCAGAGGGAATCCAAGTCCTGATTACTAAATTGATAGATTTTTTTTAAAGCGGAAGAAAAGACTCAGTTCCATCCTCGCGCTGACTCTGATAAACATTACAGACATCTTGTCCACATGAGCTGACATTTGGGCTCAAATAGGAAAAGGCCTGCAAGTGATTAATCAAAGAAAAACAGCAAACTATTTGTTTGTTTGCTTTTTTATGTTTCATATCAGTCAATTCATTATCTTCTGTTTGGTTTAGACTGCTGTTCAGACAAAATAAGAAATATGGAGATATCAGTTGGGTTTTCCTAACTTATGATATTTGTGCCAATAGCTATTTATTTTAAATTCATCATAAAAACAGCGGAGAGCCCTGAATTTTATATTTGTTAAATTCTTCAATAAAATCAATAAACATTAAAGATTACAGTAGTTTGCAGAGTTCTGACAGTATTATCAAACCCACTGCTAAGTCTTCCAGATGAGTGTATGCAAGGCAATTAAAGCTGCAGTAGGTAACCTTTAGAAAAATAATATTTCGTCAT